TGTACCAAGCTGGCCTGCTCCCTGCCACTCATTCACTCACCCAAGACGTGGGCACTTGGCTGTTACTATCCCTGCCTCTGAGCTAATCACTCACTTGCCGAAAGGGTCACCGAGGACCTTGGTTACAGGGCGTGTCCTCCCACGGGCCCCAGTGCCCACCACGGACAACCACACACTGCACACGCTCACCGGCCCCGTGGCCTGAATCCTGGTCCCACCGGCAGCAGGCCGCCCTCCGGGGCCCCTGAAATTCAGCTGATGGGGCCCCCTGTCACTCCCCACGTAAAATCGATATTTTAAGCGTGTGCTTAAATGGTATCAATAGCAATTAGAGAGGAGAATTCGGATTCCACCGCAGATGGAGTTAATTGTTATGGCATCGACCTCCCGGGCACGCTCCTTTCTCCAAATTACACCTCCGTGACGGGGGCGCGGGGGGCGCCCTCTCCCCGCCTGCGACAATAAATTTCATATCGAGTGCTCTGGGAAAAATGGCAGTTGTTGCAGATTCCATCCAAAAAGGTTTTTTTTTTTCTTTTTTCTTTTTTTTTCTTCCTGGGAGTAATTAAAAGATGCTTTTCTTGACTAATGGTTCCCCGGTTTGGGAAGGGGAGGTCAATACGGCTTCTCGCCGTCAGCTTCGATTGATCACGGTGCTGCTGAGGTTTGACCGGCAGTTCTCGGGGTGGCTGAGAATCCCTGGGACCAATTATGAGCCGGCTGAGGCCGCCCTGGTCAGGGCGCGGGGGCCACGGGCGCGAGGCCCGCCTGCCGGGAGGAGGCGCCTCTTTTCCTAACTCGCCCGCAGCACGGGGTGACCGCAAGGCGCAGTGGTTTTGGGGGGACCGGGTGTTTCTTTGTAGGACCTGCTGTGTTCCACGTCCCCATGGTCCTGATTCTGTGCGTGTGCGTGTGCTAGGGCCCGCGCGTGTGTCTGGGGGGAGGGAAGCACATTTCTAATTATATCCCACTGTCAGAATGAATCTTCTGAACGAGCAGGAATGGGCCAGGGCTTCTCGGGAAAACAGCTGGGCCCCTTTTCACAGAATCAGGCTGGACATGCTGCACCGGGCTCTTCCTTGGCTGCAGATAAAAATTTACTAAATGATTTCTTTTTTGGTATTATGTCAGGGCCACATTAAAAGACCCCTCCAGCTGCTTGTTCTAACCATCACGGGTTCTGCAGAGACCAAGGGGGGGTAGGTGGCTGGGGGAGGGCTCGGACCAGACACCGGTTCTCACGTCACAGGCCGGAGCCCGCGTGGACACGCGAGCCCAGACCTTGAGTGTTTCATTTCTGTTCGAGGACACGGCACGAGGCAGGGTGGGTGGGGGGCGTCCGAGCGACTGCGGTTTTAGAACAGGACGCCGGGACGATTTCCATTTTCACAGTGTATCTAGGGTGGCCGTTCCACCCGGACCACAGCCTTCCAGTGGCCCCCCTGCCTCATCTCCATCCCTCCCGATGGCTCCGCTGCCTGCCTTCGGTCCTCTTGGGAAACGCGAACGTAATGACCACAACCCAACGCTCGCCTTCTGCCCACCCCCGAGGTGCTGTTACACCCCTCCCGCCCCCGAAGGCTCTCCCGGTCTCTGGCTCTGTATCGGCCTCCCCCATCCCCACAACTCCTCATAGACTCGAGGGCCCAGGCCCACGGAAGACCGCCCCCCACACTGATTTCCACG